TGTATGATGACCACTTCGGCAAAGTCGCCTTCCTTCAAGGCACCGCCAAACTCTTCGCGGCACATCTTGTCCAGCCCAAGAAGAGCACCCACCGCAGGAATAGTCTTGAGGGTGATGCCGCCGTCTTCCTCACCGGTCATACCGTTGGCGAGAGTGTACCGCTGTGTGCTATCGTCTACCCAGTAGACACATCCTGGTTCACTGCGTTTTGCAGATAACATTCGGCTCCGCCGACTCCTCAAAGAGGTATTGCGTTTCGGCGAGATCATTGTGAGCACGCACTCGACGTCGTCCAATTTCGCCACTTCCTGCTCCACCGGGGCTCTGACCTTACTAACAACATCCGACGAAGAGCTAATAGCACAGAAGTCTTTGTCCAGTGGATAAGGTGGCACTCCACGCGCATCTAAAGCCCCCCCAAGATGCCTCGGACCTCGTTCGACCATGCCACTCGTGGCATTCATCGATTTCTTTGAAACGTGAGCAGCCTCACTTAGTTAATGCCACTTCACGTGCATCATTGGAGCCTCGTCCTCGATGCCTCGGCCCCTGGCCGACCAGTCCACGCATGGCATACAGCGACTGAGCCGACTTGAGTGTCCGAGTTGTCGAACACCGAAGGTGTATCGAACAGGAGTCCAGAGCATGGCTCGCGGGCTGATTGTGGAGTGGCACGTAACCCACTGAGCGCTGCTCCGATCTCCAGCACGTTGACCGTCCCGGTCCGGTGCCCGCACCAATAGCGTTTTAGCCTCCTAGCAAAGGTGAATTCATGAGTCACCAAAACTTCACCAGACGACGTGCGCGTAGCGCCCTAGGCCTTCGTCCTACTTTCGATCCATGGCATATGGTGTTCCACTCATGTCATAACAAGGATAAGGTCACACCTTGAATCCAAGTCTAAGACTAAGCAGCATTCCACGCTTTTAAAGTTACTAAACTTGACACCGAAGCCCACAGGGACTCTCGGGACCATGATCCATGTCCTCGTCGCTATGCGAACAATGACGATCTCATTTAACCGCGCATAAACGGCAGCGTATAGCTCACTTCTTTCTATCGTGGAGCGTAGATCATTATTACCCTACGTACAAAAATCCATCACGATCCTCCATGGCTTCTCACAGCTCTTCACGGTCGCTGCTGGTCACGACCAGCAAGCTCGGTTTGCATACTCTTTCCGTGTTCAAGAGCACGGAGCGCTTCGGGACTCGTCCCTGCAGATCTCTACCTTTTTGAGGCTCGTCAGAATTCAGTTCTTTTACCCCAGTAGGGCGCCCCACGCCTACTGAATGTTCCAGTTTCCTCGCGTCAAACCAGAATACTGGTAAGAAGTGAGGCGTTGGTTCGATGAACATTGACGTGCCTTGCGCAGGGAAAACCAATCCCAAGGTATCGGGTGTCTTCGCAGACAATACACCGCCGGGTGTTGGAACGCGACTTGACAGCACGGAGCTCCCCCCTCTTTTTCAGCATAGCGGGTATTCGATGAGCTGCTAATTTGTGCATTCCAGCCAAGTCGTGCCGACTACGAGTTGATATCGACATTTAATGCCGCATTCAATGCTTCTCTAAAAGAATACGGATGTACACGGAAGATTTTCATTCTAGCCACACCAGTGCGAAGGCCCTCCATCAAGACGATAACTGCGACCCCCTCGAGGAGAGGATCGACTGCCATCCCGGTAATGAGAGTTCTCAACTCTCGAACGAAGTTCACAAACTCTTTCTTGCTTTGTTGGGTGGCAAGGGAACGCGATCACACACGATTAGCCTGGATAGGCGACGATAAAATTCGTAAAAGCTGCAGCTTCAGCCCGTTTTCAGTAGGAACGCCGCTTCGACTTAAGTGCCGCACGAGTGTCCATTCTCGCGCTTGACCACCGAGCTTGGAGATAGCTAGCGCCACGCGCTGTTGTATGGTCTGGGGCATGGCGGGCGATATAGACATCTCGGCCACTTTCACCCGGAGCAGGAGGTTCTCTTCACCCTCACCCTCGAATGTCTAAACGCTCACCATGAGCAGCTTGGATCGGGAGGAGTCATCAGTCGTCGACGGCGGTGTCATGGACGCAGTCGATGCCGACATCTTCTGCTCTAGGTGCTCTAGCAGAGCATTTTTATAATTTAAAACGTCTCTAGGCGAGCGCTGTACGCTTCAGGTCCTTGCAAAAGTGAGGTGCTGCCCGCCCTCAGGGTCAAGCAGAGACAGCAGCTTTTTAAGCCCGTCCTGCATGCTCTGAAGCAAATTGCACCATCCTCACAAAGAATCAGTCGTAACGACCCAGGTATAGATTGACAACAAGTGCTACCAAGTGCATCGGGGCTACCGTAGCTCTTTCACTCAGAGGTAGCTAAGCTAAGGTCGGTGGCCTTCGTTCTATGCCTTTAACCAGTACGAGT